CCCATGGACAAGCTCCACACCAGAGCAGATGAATGTAACTTTGATCATGGGGCAACTTTTTACAGTGACAGGTCTTCTAGAGTCAGAGGCACTCCATCTCTCTTAACAAGGGCAAAAGGATTCTAGCCCATGAGTTGGCAGGGCTGATTTAGAGGACTTTAAACTAGGTTTGAAGTTTGAAAGGGGATAAAAACAGGCTCTCCAGAGATGAGCCTAAGGTGGCAAGCCAGAATCAGAGGTGAAATCATCAGCTGACCATAACCCTCATTTCCCATGTCTCTGTGCCATTGAAGGAGCAGGTGGAGATAGGAAGAGTGGATGGGTGGGGAGAAGGCATTTTTAAGGTCTTATTTTACTTCTCATTTTCCTGCTCTGATTTTGTTAATAATAAATTCAACTGATGTCTCAAATTACACCCTCTTTTCCCATGCTGGTGTTTGGTGAGTATTTCTCTTGGTCCTTATCTCAATTAATGGACCCTTCATTACATTTTCTCTCCCCTGTGAGAGGTCTAGCTGTGGAGGAAAGTGAGAGAAAGGCTTTAGTGGGTGCCAGGCATGAAGCCAGGGTCAACACACTACAAGGAGCACCACTCTTCTACTAAGACTGAGCATCTTTCTCCATTTAAGATTATACAAACCATTCAAAAATATATATACACTGCTTGTGTTGCAGTCTGCTGAGCCTCCAGTGCACATACAGAGGCCAAATCATTTGAGAAAAATAAGTTAAATCCTTACCACTTTCTCATCACAATTTTTTAAAAGGCATTGGGAAAAATGCCTAATTAAAAAAGAAAAAGTGCATCTTTAGTCTTTTTCTAACATGTTTCAAAGTGCAGCCTCAGTGCTGTGGAAACTATTTCTGAAAATAAGGACAGATCTTCTAAATCCATGTTGACACCCATTAAGATGGTGAGTTGAGAAGCACTGAAGTGCATTAAGATTTGTACTTCATTGACAAGTTGGATTTCAGGTGGTCTATTACTACATAAGCAAGAGAGATCAAGGCAACAACCCCCATGGCCTCTGAAGATAACTTATGAACTACCATCCTAACACCAGCTCAATCCAGAGAAAACAGTGCCCAAGGACCACAGAGAACCTCCCTTTCATAGTGAGAGGTAGAAATATTTTCTATAGAATTTCCTCTTTCGCAGTAATATTTCAGAGTGCCTTGATGTCCAAAGGTAGGCACTGATTATATTTCAAAAGCATAGCTATGGAAGCAGTTGTTAATTAAAGCAAGAGAGGATGAAAGTAAGTGGCTGGAAAGTTACAACGTAGCTGACAATATTCTTAGCTGTCCTTAGCAGTGTAATAAATGCAGTGGCAGGCAAGCACGCAGCATCATTTGTTGCCCAAGGCATTCCTGGCCTCTGAACACACAGTGTGCACATGTTTTCAGACTACTACGGGGTTTTTTACCATAATATCATAGACATAGTGATAACTTTAGATAGGTCATTCTCCACCTTAATTTTCTGAAAATAGTATCACATGTTAAACCACAGAGTAACTCAAGGATTACAGTCAAGCCCAATTTATAAAAGGCAGGACAGAAATGAAGTATCAGTAATCTGAGGGGACAGCTCTTATATTTTCTTCCTGTGATGTCTAAATCCTGAACAGTATCTCTACCCATGTCACACTGGCTTCACAGAAATCAAACCTTTACATCACAGACACACAGCTTCATGTGCTGAATGGATGATTTTTTTACATCAGCTGTTTCTATGGAAGAGTTGGAAAACCAGTTCTTTTTAAGAACTGTAAGTCTCTCTGATGTCTCAAAGATGCTTCATTAAAGATTTATTCCTATAAAGCTTTTACAAGGACTGCATCAACAATAATCCACATGAGGGATTAACCCACAGGGTTAATTAATGTTCTGAACCGAAGAGTGGTATGACAATATGACAGAATGTCTTACTGTAACTTAATTTCATTATTTAAATGGGGACCACAGCCACCATCAGATTTCCACCCAGCTGAAGTAGTGAAAGAGCAGCTCTGACATGCATAGGCACAGACAGTAACAGAAATGTAAAGCGCTATTACTCTCACTCAGCTGACTGTACATACAGCTGCAAAGTACAGATGGCTTTTAAGTCAAAGGGTGACAACATTATTAGCTTATTTTCAAAACAACTTAAGAACACATGGCAAAAAATATGATTGTCAAGTGAACACAGCATTAAAAAAAAAAAAGCAAAGCAAAAATCTACCAAGAAGCCAACTAGTCCTCGAGGTTTCATGACTGTCCTCTGTCAAATGCTCATGAACATTCTTCTGCTTGAATTTCACCAATCACTGCAATTCAAGGAAAAGAAAAATAACTCCAGCCAATCTAGAGCATCATCTTGAATCTGACCCTCTGCTTTGGTCATTAAGCAAATTCTCAGAGATGGCTTACATGGCTGCACTTCACTTGCTTATTTCAGGAGCATTTTCTGTATTTTATTATTGCGTAAGACATAGTGGCAGAAACAAATCAAAGCTTCCTTAGTAACAACACTGGGAAACTATTAAGATGACCAGACTCAGAAAAAGTGTTGAATTAATGATGTCTCAAATTATTTCTCCTTTTTAAGCTCTTAATGGTATTAATTTCTATAAAAAACTGTAACCCATTTTTTACACAACTTGACTTATTTCATTTGAAATGTCCTAGCAAAGACTAAAACATACCCACAGCACAATACACATCAGTAAGCCAATTCTTGGTGCTTTGCATTCCAATAAAACTTATCCTGGGAGGATATCCAAGTTTTTAAAAAGTCAATTAATTTAGATTCTTAAATGAGAAAGGTCTATACAATCATACTCTGGATCATAAAAGGTAAAATGTTCATCCAAGGACAAACAGTAGAAAATACTGAAAATCCATTGACTTCCTGGTTTATAACCTGTTCACTCATCTGAACAGTTTCAGTATTTCGTCCAAGATAAATAGCTATAATATGAATGGCATGCTCCAGCTGTTCTAAACAAACTACAAATATACAATTCAGCAGAACACAAGCTGTTTCTGAAACTTTCAGTGTGAGGCCAGTGACAATGGGATCACCCCCATTCATGAAGTGACTTGTGTGCATAAGCCCATGCAATGCTCAGGGGAGGAACCAATGCAGAACCTAAGGCAACAAGTGCTGAGGCACTTGGTGCTTCTGCAGCGTACAGCCAACAGTCAGCAGCGAGACCTGCTCACTAACAAGGTGGTAAAGCATACATACAGTTTTGCACAACTGGTACAGAGCTCAAAAAGGCTGTTACTTTCCTACATTCCCGCCCCCCAAAACCACGTAGACTCCTTGGAAAAATGCCCAGAGCAACAGAATATTCACAATTACCAGTAGGAAGGACAAAGCTTCCATTCATTAAGTACAACTGAGGTGTTGTACAACTCTGTTTTCACAGCATAAATTTCAAAATCCCAACATAAGCAGCAAGAATTCTTACCCTCCAGAGCAGCTGTAGTTGAAAAATATGAATTTATTGCATCTCTATATGTTTGTTAAAAGTCTGTCATTACTTTGAAAAGATATCTTATTTGTGATCTTAAAGATAGACCCAAGAGAGAATTAAGTGAGACTACACATAAACCTGTTGAAATGGGGCTGAATTAAACTTCCCAAATTGTTTCAGGGGAAGGGGAAAAAAAAAATTGAAAGAAAGAGATAAAGGAAAATAAAGGGATAAAGGAAAAGAAAGGGAAGGGAAGGGTGCGGGAAGGGTGCGGGAAGGGAAGGGTGCGGGAAGGGTGCGGGAAGGGAAGGGTGCGGGAAGGGTGCGGGAAGGGAAGGG